AGTGAATGGGATCTACAACCTCTGAATTTGCCTAGTAACAATGAATTCGTCGAGAAAATGGTAATATTTTATGAGAAATAGTCTGTAATTCTCATTTTTTTTTTGCGTAAAACTAAAATCCATGCCAATATTTTTCCATGATTTATAATAATTGGAGTAATGCAAATGCATATTTTCTAAAAAAAAGTCAGTTTTTAGTGAAATTTTGCCGGGAATGGGGCTTTAATTAATTGACTGACTCTGTTAGATACTATAGTTCCTCTGGTATAAGCCCACCCCACAAGGTACGTTTCTATTAATTTACTTTGTATGCCACTGCTAGTACTGTAGCATCTGGTATGTGACAGAATGATGGTTGCTAATAAAAGTAATACCATAAAAACTTGCAGTAGGACTATTACCTGAGTATACTTAACTTCTGGTGGCAATTTCGACATTGTGCAAAATTTAGCAGTAGGTAAAAGGATACCTGTAAAAAAATACTTTAAAATATGATTAAAAAATGCAACAAAAACGAACTGCCATGGTCTGCTTTAAGAATATGATATTGAATACAGCACATGTACATTCATACTGCCCACAACTTACTGGGTATGGAAAATAGCCGATTGATGAGTGGACTAATCATACGATAAAAATATTGTTGGGTAGATGTGAATGCAGACGAATCCAGATTATTCTACTTTGGCTGCAAAAGATGACATTTGAAACCAAAAGTGCATTGGAATATTTTCTCCATGGCACAATGTCAGTGTGGGAGCCAAGTCAATCACCTGTCAGCCATGGCTCGTTAGGATTCAAAAATTTACTTTTTAACATTTTTTTAGAAAATAATATTACCTTGCATCTAATTTCCCCCCCCCCCATCCTCAGGTTTCGAGGTCACCTCATCAAGCAATTTGGCCAAATCTACGTATGCAGAGAATGTAGGACGCCAGGTAGGACGGTCACGCATGAGTGATTCCGTTCTAGCGTCGCGTCGTCGCACAAATCGAAAGCTCCCTATTATCAGCTGTGCTGTGCATTTCAAAGCATCTGTGCTTGAATCTTGGCTCTGGTGTTGGTTTGAGTTGCCAGGAACATGGATAGAAAGTAAATCCTTTCTTTTTTCGTCAAGAGTCACTGCGCCTCGGAATAGTTCGCTAGATAGACAGCGCATTATAAATGCTGTTTAATTATTATATTAAAGCTTTTATTTTTTATACTATTGCAAATTGGTCAAATTTGTTTTCTCATTTCATTTCAGTAATCATAATTCAAAATAATAATGTTTCCATGGGTGTTTTACAGGGGTCCTAAGTCTCCCGGAAATCGTGGGCCGCTCGGGAGCAAGCATGTCCCGGAAATTAAACTATCTCCGCAAATTCAGAATTTTGCGTGTTTTTACTGCTTAATTATCAATTTTCTCATGGAAGTCAGTGCCGATTAGTATCACTATATTCAGCAAAATAAAGTTAAATGTGTTAAAGATGTACTGTCCCTTGAAAATGACCAAAATCATAAAAAAATAATTTTTAAATTAACTTATTTTGCAGTAACATACAAATTATTAGCATGAGCATAGAAATTATTAAATTTAAAAAATGATGTTCCCTGAATTTTTAACTGGATAATTATAACAAAGATAATAAAACACTCCAGTGACTGGAATAGTTTTTATCATATTTTTCACTGTAAAATGATGATTTTTATGGGTAAGCATTTTTTAAATACACTAACTTCTATGTAGATAATTTTTATGTTACTTCAAAATGGGCAAGTAAATAAAAAAAAAAATTTTATGATTTTTTTTTTGTTTTTTGCAAGGGAGAGTACATCTTTAAAAAAGCTCATTAACCAGATCAGTGGCGGATTCAAGGGATGGGGAAGCCGGCCCGAGCCCCATAAATTTTTTTAAAATTATGAAAATATGGGGAAATTAAAAATTTGAATTTTAAGTGAGAGGGCCATTTCTGGCCATTTGAGGTGCCATAATCATATTGTCTTACCTCAGCTCCAACCATGGTGGCAGTGGCGAATTCTGTTGCTCCCCAACCCCCAAATGTTTAAATTTAAAAAAAAAAAATAAATAAATAAAGAAAGGAGAAAAAAAAAATATTCAAATCTAATTCTGAGAGTGCCATTTCCGACCATGTGCCACAATTTTAATTTTTCTTACCTCAGCACCAACCATGATGTGGCTGAGGTGGGTTGACCCTCCATCTGTGAAAGACTGAAGGAAAGTTCCTCCCTGGGTCCCCTCTATTTTAAGTTCATGAATCTGTCAGTGGATGGATCTGATGTGGTTGTGGTCCAGGCCTCCTAGGCAAGACCCTCCATCTATGAAAGTTCCTCCCTCCTCCTCAGATCTCAGAAGGAACCACCAGTCATGGCAGATCCAGATTCCAGGTACTCCTACTTTTCAATACAGTCAGTAGCAGTGTGCTGCTATCAATTGATCAATTGTTTCCCCGCTTGGTGGTGGTAATCCCATCCAAATCTCTCTGGCTGACCGGACAGAGTGTGGGCCACGCGAAGAAACTACCGCACACTGGCAAACAACACAAATTCACATAAATATATACATTTAATAATTTTCAAAACATACCTTAAGTTCCTTTTCAAACGCAGGAACTTAATCCAATGTATTTTTTTACAGCAGGCCTAGGCTATACCCTAGCTTTTTAAAATCCGGGATCTACCGACTAATTTCTACTTACACGACAAGCTACATGTGCGTGTAACTATGAAACTGAAGCTTGACACTATTAGAACGCTGACTATCGTTCCCGCTGCCGTTTTCTTAGATTCCATTGCAGACAAACAAAACCTAAGCAAAGGTCGGCGTTTTGTACAAGCTAGGAAAGATTTCATGTTCACGTGCAAAAATTATTCAATAAATATTGTACTCTACCAGCCTTTTTTCGTGCCAAAATGTGGATTGAAGAAGCTAACGAGATGCTTGACATGTTGAGGGGAAGTATTCCTCTGACAATTATACTCATTGTGCCCGTTTTAATCATGATTTCTCCGTGTGTACCAGTGGACGCAGCCCATGAATTTTCAGTTTATCGTATGCAGCAGTATGATCTCCAAGGCACACAATACGGTATGTCAGCGTGACCGGCGTTCGCATTCTGCAGAGTGATTAGGCCTAGCGTAAGGTTAGGCACCGATATGAAGATGGTCAAAGAGCAATCCCATTAGTAGTAGGTGTACGGCCGTCCCGAGGCAAAACGACGTAACTGACATTTTTGTCGATTTTGAGATAATGTCATTTGGGGGTATATTAAACACTTCTGAATTACCTGGGTGAAACTTTCAGGTCTCAATAATGAGTCGTTTCTGAGATAGCACCACCTAGGCCTATCTTTAAGCACAAAACTTTAAAAAGCCAGTGATTTTCTGTGGCAAAACAACGTAACTACAAGATTACGTGGCAAAACAACGTATCTGTGATGAAGATAAGTTGCTTTGCCACGGAATGCTATTCAAAAATGGTCTAGAGCTGATGGAGTTTGGCAAGGCAAAATTAAATGGTTATTGCCATTGGTGTTTTAATATCAATAATCTTAAACAGCGATGTATGAACAGGTCAAAGGCGATAAATTCCAATGTCGCATTTGCAACAATACCGAGTCTGGCATGTTTCCGTGGCAAAACAACGTATAATTATCACTAATTAATAGCTTTGCAATAAACAAATAGTTGTAATTAAAATTTTACATATAATCACAAAGTCTAGTATACCATCCTGCAAAATTTTAAAAGGCTACGACAATTTAATGCGAAGTTACGAACATGCAAACTTTAACTCTATTTTTCTCCAAAAGTGAAAATTTCATGTTACGTTGTTTTGCCACGGAACGGCCACATAGGCCTAAGCCTAATCATATTATTAAATATTATTAGGGACCTCAGACCTCCATGCCATTGTCCTTTTCAAATTATATCCAAGGATCTAGGCCTACAGTAGACTAGGCTAATTTGTATTTTTTGTTTTTTGATTAAAAAGACAAACAGAAATCTTTCTTATTCTTAATTAAATTGACCCACCCTGTTGTTTTATTAATAGAAGGCCTAGGCAGTTACGCCTAACATCCTTTTTTACATATTATTTCTTTTGGATAGGCCTACTGTAGGCCTACACCATGTAATATTAGCCTTGCAAGGCCCTAGGGGCCTAGACTAGGCCTAGGTGAGGATATTTCTGATGCATCTTGTTTATTATATTTTTATATATTTTTAGTCAACAGGTCAAAACGGCAAAAAACCATAACGGCAACAAGTCAAAATGACAATGACCAAAACAGCAAAAAACCAAAACAGCAACACTTTTTGACCAGAACGGCAATGGACCAAAACGACAATGACCAAAACGGCAATGGCCGAAACGACAATAAGTAAAAACGGCAATAAACCAAAACGGCAACACTTCCAGAATGACATACTGTATGATAATTGGCAAAATGGTTAAATAAAATACTACTACAGTATGCTACTAAGCCTAGGACTAGAGAGTCTAAGCTGAGGGCGTAGACTATTTTAGATAATAGTAATAATAACAACAACAACAATACAACATACATATTCAATAGTAAGAAAGATTAGGGGAACACAATACAATTTAAAACCAGTGGATATTTAAATAATTAAAACCTTAAAATACAGATAATATGAGGCTAAGCAAGCTATGTCATGAAAGTAAAAAACGGGAAAGAAAAGAAAATAATAATAATAATAAATAACACTTTAAAAATAACGAAATAATTCTTCATGGATGTGTAAAAAAAACCAAAAAAAAATGATTCAGAGAATTATAAACCGCTGCCTGCGCCCGGTGGCGCTTCAGTCTTGGAATTGAATTTTGCTCCTTTGCCATTTTGGTCTATGCCTATTACCGTTTTGGTACAGTAGTTGACATTGCTGTTTTTGTCATTGCCGTTTTTGTTTATTGCTCTTTTGGTCATTGCTGTTTTTGTTTTTTGCTGTTTTGTCCAGAAACCTATTTTTATATAGGCTTAGGCTACATTAGATGCACTAAATGTCCTGTCTCTGCCATCAAGCAAACAATTCATAGCCTATACCATCCTAATTATTATTATTATATTGATTGATTGATTAAACTGATCCAAAACTTTAATTAATTAACTGTATGTGTACATTTTCAGTATTTGATGCCATTTTAAATTTAACTCTACTGTAGGTATTCAGTATGAGATAGACTAAGTCTCTAATATTTGGAAATATACATGGTACTACCCATACTTTAAATTTTTTTAATTGCTCAGCAGATATTTAAAAAATCGGCTTAAATTTTGGACGTAAAATAGTTAGGAAAATTGTTGCATGAAATCGCAATCGCTGCATACCCTGTAATTGCATTGGTTATACTGTATATTAAGATTTGGTCAAAGCCCGAATTTTGGCGAAATATGCGTGGAACTCAGCCCTAATTTTCACCTCCGGGCCCCCCTCAGCACCTCCACTTTTAAGACTCCTACACTACAGTATGTCAGCCACTGCTGTACAGTAAGGGTTGTGAAAAATCTATATTTACTGTAGGTCGTTATTTTATCTGCATTAATATTATGTCTTAGCCTAAACAGTTTATTATGATAATAAGTTCATTGTTTTCATTTTAGGTACAAAAAATAATTTTGTTTTGTTTCCATGGACATTTCCATTTGTAATCAATATTTGACTAAGAACAAAAATAAGAGTTCTGTTTTCTTACTTTTTGTTGTAAAATCTTAACAGGAAAAACAGGAAAATATAGACAGTATAAAATAAAAATGGTTCAAAAGATGAAAAAATAGTGTTTTCAATATTGTAGAGTTGAACATGCCTAAAGTTGAATGCAAAATGGCATTGAAAAACTGTTGACTCCTAGATAAAACTCGACTTACAATGTTAAAGATCGTTAATTAATGGAAAACACAACCATTTAGCATGTAAAACAAGACAAACTAGAAATTATTTGAGTTCTAAAGGCAAAGTCAGCTTAAGCAAGTTTAACTGTATCACAATGGCTAAAGACCTATAGGTTGTTTACATATTTTACAGGATGTCGCAATGCACTGGTTAACATGGAAGCACGGCCAATTAATTCCAATGTTATGGTCAGGAGGTGTCTGGTAACAAGGCTTGCAGAGCTTACTGCTGAACGTTATCAAGAAATTATTGAAGGCGCGGGTGCTCTGTTGGTTCTGCTTCCAAAGGACATCAACTCATTACCACAATCTGCTGTTCAAGTATGTTTGTACTCAGTACAATATACAGTTTTTTTTAATAGTCTTTATAAATGCTTAGTAGTGTATTATACCCTTCACTGTTTCTCTTGTTTTTCTGTTATCATCTTACATTCTTCCTGTAATTGTAATTAGCATAAATTGGTGTACTGTAGCCGCGTTAGTCTAAACTATACAGCAAAAACAATAAAATGACAGGTAGTGCTTTAAGATTGAGCATAGCTCAGTGAACTTCATCAGGTGACTACAAATGAAACTCGAGCAGTCACTCCATAGATACATACCTCCACCCTGTGCCTACTGTTGATACCGAAAAGCATGCAGGCTGTGTATGGGCATTTCTTATTTTCTTTTATGCTCGAGGATAAGTTCAAGGTGGAAAATAAATTTCCGTAACCTTGAGTCCTTGACCTTGTACTTTAACCATTTTCTTTCTCAAACATTAATCATCTCTTAGATTATTGTATACCATTCCACAAAATTTTTTGATGATGCATTCCTTAGTTTTTCCATAATCTTGCTAACTACAGTATAACAGATAGGCAGACAGAGGTGAAACATACTGTAGCCTCCTTGGTAGAGGTAATGAAATCAATCTCTTTTAATTCATCATGAAACACAATGGAGGGTGGATATTCCATGCATGCTATTACTACAGTATACAGAATTCTTCCTGTAGTAGGAAGTTGTTAGCAGTTTAACTTTAAGACACTTTTGTGACCCATAATTTATGAACCCTGAGTTAGGCCAGGGTAAATAGATGATTGGATTCTTATCAATCTTATGAAGTCTGTCAGTATTTTTTTGTCTAATTATATTGACAAGAGCTCAGCTTTTGGAAATTGAAAATGATTGTAAACTGTCCAAAAAAGTTGAATATGTAGTACTGCCTCATAAACCTTATAACTTGAACATTAAAAAAAAAAGCATTTGCTTTCTATTTTATATCAACTGTGGCTCTGTATTTTAAAACAACCTGTAAACTGTGTGGTGATGTGAGTGGTGTTCATGTCTTGATTGATAGGTTCATGCTAAAACTTTCCTTCTTTTGAGCAACTTAAGTATTATTGCTGTGCTTGTGTTAAGTCTCATTATATTATATAAAATAAACAAATATTTTATAAGAGATTATATACAAACTCCGAAGAAATTAATTAATTAAAATCTTTTTCTGTTGTTCTATTATAGTATTGGCTGGAGTTAGAACCACAGATTTTAGAGCAGGAGTCCAAGGTGCCCATATATTTTGCATATGAGGATGACCGCTTGCTGGAGATATACAATGATATCAGCACTGCAGTCAGTTCAGACCAAGCAGCTTCTGGTGCAGAAGGTTAGCTGAAATTCATATTTCTTGTGGTTTGTAAAAAAAGAGATTTATTAAGAAAGGTGAACACCCAGCTACAACTACTGTACATAAATCCTGCCTAGTAATTATTTTGAAAACATTTAACATATTACAAATTTATTTTAAAACATACATTTTGGTTTAAAGTTTTTTGAAAAATTGTGATAAGGGTTTGTATTAATTTACATTGGCCGTATTTTATTGTTCTTCATTAAACCATGCCCGCCTGCGCAGTGGTGAAATCCTACTTAAACGAAGACGATCAGACGAATAGAAAACTAGTTAATATTCAACAAACCAAAATGGCTGTGTAGTTGCCATGATACACACTAGTGTAGTCAAGTTGCTTCAGTTTGCAGCTGAGTTTTTCGAAAAAAAAAAATGTTTTCATACAGTCTTTGAATTCTGCAAGCCTACAATTATTTTTTGACTTTATGTGGGTAAATATTATTAATATTTTCTGAAATTAATTTAAATTATATTATATAAACACAAATGTTGTTTTGGAGTGTACAGTATAACTTATTGCAAATTAACACATTCTGCTTTACGTTATTTTCTGTTGCCAACGAAGTCTATATTACTAAACAGTCAAATGAAAATAGTACTCGACGAAATATTGTTGTCATCGAAGCGAACCAGTCAAATATGGCCATTGTGTATTTCCAACATGACACAAATGTCTATTCTAGTATCTATCTCATCTATATTTTTATTTGACACATTTGCTAAATTATAAGGTACACTATAACAATTGCTGAATATACAGTATTCCAAAATTGGTGTACAATTTGCATATTGGTTTAATTTTACAGCTTTGCTTGGTGCAGTTTATGCCAATGGTTTTCAAATGGTGGTTTCTGGATCTCAGTCTAAACCGATGAAGGATGCAACTATTACTAGTCTTCAGGTAAAACACATATTTTTGAGTGATTACAGGGGTGCAAAGTGCGGGAAGTTTCTTGATTTGATTGGCCTAACGGTTATGTCATGGGCACTGTAACCTTCAGCTATAATATCGGTGCTGGTTCAAACTTCTCAATCAATTTTGGTTCCGGTGGTGGAACAAGTCTTCTCAAATAAGGACTTTAAACTGTAGGCCCAGTGTAAGCATTTAGCTTGTGTGCAATTTAAAGAACTCAGTACATCCTTCAAGAATGGTAGGGGTTACCCCGGTGTACTGGTCCATTCAGTCCCCTGTTATTTAATGGATATGCCACGTAGGAAAGTGATTAAGTTTGCTGATTGGCATATCCTTTGCGCTCGTGCCTAAAGCAATGAAATGAAAAAAAAATTTAAAGTGGCGATTGGGACACCCTTCCACACTCCTGCAAGTAAGCAAGAATCACTCGGGAAAATATCCCATCTCCCATAAATTTATAATATTTGCATATTTTTACTACTTTATTATCAATTGTCTCAAAGTCAGTTCCTAGGGCAGCAAAATAAAATTAAATATGTTAAGAAAGCTCATTTAACCATACTGCTTCCAACTTTAGCACCCTGGGTATCAAACTTATTTTAAAGCATAGGTCTATAAATAAAACCCATCAATTAATATACTGATGGATTAATTTACTTTAACATGGGTAATAATTTTTCTTTCAGGGCAAGCTATCAGGCAAAGGTATAGAGGACCAGTTGCCCACCATTGCTATAGTTGCACATTATGACTCGTTCGGAGTTGCCCCAGTAAGTATTATTAACTTTAGAATTATCTCAAATTGTCAAGGCTATATGACTGTATATCATTATTCCAAACTTTCGCCAATTAATTCAAAACAGAAACACTTCCAGAAAAAGATGGGAAAAGAAATGAGGTAAAGAAATTAATGAGAAATTAAAATGGTGAAAATTTCTTGAAAAATGGAGGAAAGGAAATTTGAGATAACAGAATGGAAAAAGGGAAATTGAGGGAAATGTTGATTTCAATCTCATTCTTTTTCAATTTGTTTGAATGTTTTATATTGTAACTTTTTCCAACAAATTCTGTTTTGTTTTTGTGGTTTTAAATTGTAATTTTTGTTTGTTTGTATTTTATACTATGAACCCTTTTTGTGGAATTTTCAGTGGTTTTTTTCTTTTTTTATTAAAGACCCCAATTCAGATAAGTTTATTTTTAAACATTCTTGGCTGTTATTCCTTGGTTCATTCAGATAATGCTGTCATTTGTTTGTTGTAGGATATTTTTGTCGTTTTTTTTATGTACAGTTAATCTCGCCTAAGTTGACTTTGCCTAACTCGAATAATTTCTTAGTCGAAATTAATTTACATGCCAAATTGTTGTGTTTTCCATTAATAACAATCTAAAAGTTGAACTTATCAGTCAAATAATTTTTCAATGGCATTTTGGATTTGACAAGTTCAACTGTACTTGTATTTTAAATATATCTAAACTATGCTAAAACTAGGGCTTAATATATAATAAAAAAAATTGAATTGAAAGTTATAATAATAAAAAGTTACAGAATTCATAATATTTTTGTGTATTTGAATTGTTACAAGGTATTTTTTTTAAATTGTTTTCAAGTAGGTTTTTTTAAACATGTGGTATTTATTGTTTAATTTTGTTTGTAGTATCTTGCTCGTGGTGGTGATTCAAATGGAAGTGGAGTCGCTGCTTTACTCGAGCTAGCAAGACTCTTCTCAAAACTTTATGCAAACTCTAAAACACAAGCAAAGTATCCTTTCATTTAATTAACCTGGAAGATATCTGTATAATGGTAAAGATGAGGAGGATGAGGATAATCATGATGAAAATGAGCATAAGGACATAGAGGAGGATGATGATAAGGATGCTGAAGATGGAGATGAAGATAAAAGTGACAATGAGAATGATGACGCAGATGATGACGACGAAGACAATGAGGATGATGATGGTGAAGACAGAGATGGTGATGATGACGATGAAACTTTTGATAATTTATCCTGTTCACTGCTGTAAAGCGCATAGAGCTATTTTACATTGTGTGCTATATAAATTGACAATTATTATTATTATTATTATTATAATAATGATGTTGATGAGCATGGTGATGAGGATGAAGATGAGGATAGTGATAATGAAGATGAGAATGATGACAATAAGGATGATGACAATGAGGATGATGACGGTTAGGATGAAGATTGACAATGAGGATAATGAAGGAGACAGTGAGGATGGTGGTGGAGAAGATGATGATGGTGAATAGGATGATGAAGATGATATGGGGAAGATGAGGATAATGATGAAGAGGATGATGAAGATGATAGGGTGAAGATGAAGATAATGATGGTGAAGAGGATGATGAAGATGATATGGTGAAGATGAGGATAATGATGGTGAATAGGATGATGAAGATGATATGGTGAAGATGAGGATAATGATGGTGAAGAGGATGATGAAGATGATATGGTGAAGATGAGGATAATGATGGTGAAGAGGATGATGAAGATGATATGGTGAAAATGAGGATAATGATGGTGAAGAGGAATGTGATAATGGTGAAGATGAGAGGAGTTAGTGGTTTATCCTGGTGTACAGTATGATAATCTCCATATTTGGTGTTTGTTATCCTGAGCTACATTAATTCCTTTAGGTACAACCTTTTGTTTCTTCTTTCTGGTGGTGGTAAATTCAACTATCAAGGAACAAAACGATGGATTGAAGACAGTTTGGAAAGTACAGGTAAAGACTTTTTGGATGTAATGTTGTTGCTTTCCTTAACTGTGTGTACTTGTTTTGTTTAATAAAAAAAACAATGAATGATATAAAATACTGAGTGAAATATTAATAAATTAAAGGGATTTTAGTTAATTATGTTATTTTATTATTCATTTTGATTAGAAACAACGATTCTAAGTGAAGTTTCCCATGTTTTGTGCTTGGATAGTATTGGTGCTGGTAATAGCTTGTTCATGCATGTGTCAAAACCGCCAAAAGAAGGAACTGTCCCTCATAGTGTTTTACAGGTAAATTTAGAATAAAAACAGGGAGTATATTATTGTTGGCGTAATGCACTGTAAATCAGACAGACTTTAAAATTTTAGATACAGAGCACTCGACTAACATTTACAATAAATGCCTTTCTGAATTTTGTTTCTTTAGGAGCTGATTGCTGTTAGTAAAGATCTATATCCAGAATTAAATGCCAGTATGATCCATAAGAAAATTAATCTAGCAGATGACTTGTTGGCATGGGAACATGAGAGATTTAGTATGCGTCGTCTGCCGGCTATGACAGTTTCTCATTTTTCTTCTCACTTGGATACTTTAAGAAACTCGATCTTAGATGATGGGTAAGTTACAAAGGGCATTAGTAGTTTTCAGGAGGGGAACAACAAGATCCCCTGTTTTCTCCAACCAGTCTACAGCGGGATTGCAATACTGTTTCTATAAGCAGGCCACACACTGCATTGTACGATGGCTGCATTGCCTTCTGCCGACGAATTCATTCCTGCTGTCAGTGTCCACTTGATGATGTGATGTCGTTGACTGATTATAGATGATAGACTGTGTGGATTGTCATTTAAAATTACGTTCTTTACGTAAATGTGTCAGCTAGTGACCATCAGGTGCAGTGTGAATCCAGCTTAAGGTAAAATAAATTGCAAGATTGAGATAGAAATTTAACAGCTGAGTCTCAACTAATCTAAAAAATTTTAAAAAAATTATTAGATATATGGAATTAACCATTTTTTAACACCTGGTTTTTCAATTATTTGATCTTCCATTTAAAACCCTGAGTTATAATTACCTTCGTAACAAAATATATGTTTAATATTTATTATGTTCGCTTAACAATCATTAAACCTAGAAAAGTTTAGGGGGTGGTGGAGATGGTCTAGTGATGGGGAGTGTGGTGGTAAATTTGAGAATGATATTAATAGTGCTGATGATGATAATAGTGATAATCATGTTAATAGCCATATTCATATTTTGTTCAGGTCAACGTTAGACACTGCAGTGTTAGCTAGGAACGTGAAGATTATTGCTGAGGGTTTAGCTAGACACCTATATGGATTATCAAGCAGCTCATCCAATAAATCCCTAGAAGTATTCACTGATTTGCTGGTGAGTAAATACCTGCACGTAAATGTTAGTATGTTTTTAATTTCATTTCTTAGTCTCATTATTTCATATTATTATTTGACAACGCAATGCAGGAATTAACTCAACTCATGTTTACAATTCAACTTTTCAGAGGTAGTTTGTATATTGTACTGTATATATTTTTTTTCCAGTCTTTATTTTTTTAAGTGTAATTAATCTTTGTTTTTTATTTATTTCATATTGTATTACTGTATTTGTGTAGTTACAGTAAGCATCAAGGAAACCAAATTTCATGTTCGCCTTGTTTCGTTCTGTCACTTTGTTTAAAATTTTGTTTGTACCTACAGTAAAATATTTAATATTATGCAATTGCAATATTCTGCCAAAAGGAATTTATTCCTGTAATTATTTAAGATGCTTAGAAACAATCAAGCGGGTTGCATCATGGGTTTGGACAAGGGTTCCTCTCAATTTGGGGAGGCCAGAAGTCATCCAATGCTACAGTTAGGGTCCAAGAAGCAAGACTTTAACCAAGATGGAATTATCAGTATCAACATTTTCAGTGGCGGATTCAAATTGGGGGGTGGGGGGAAGCTAGTCCAGTCCTAGGGCCCTTTTTAAATTTTTCAAAATAAAAAAAAAATGAAGAAAAAAATAAAATTTTATTCAAATTTTAAGTCTGAGAGAGTGCCATTTCCGGCCATCTAGAGGTGCCATAATTAAAAATGTTCCCTCCCTGGGCCCCTCTATTTCAAATTTCTGGATCCGCCACTGATTTTGTTATTTTTTCCTAAAATTTATAAGCTTTTTTTTGCCTAAAACTGAAGATGGATAAAATGATTAAGAAGGTAATATTTTTATGCTAATCATTTTCTTTGACGACGTTTTTTTCTTTTTCAGGCTGTAAATGAACCTTTCTTAAAATCATGGGTCACTTACCTGTCCTCACAGTCCAGAGCAGCACAACTTATGACTAAGGACTGTTCAGTAGTCACCACTTTAGAAGAGAGTATGAAAAAGATTTTTAATAATGAAGTCAGTAAGATCACTATTAAAGCTGATAAAAGGTACCTCTATAATAAAATATATGACATTTACTTAGTAAATATTTTTATATATGAATGATGTTTGCACTACCTGACGTGTTATCGTTACCATAGGTAGGGCAAGCATCATTCATAATATTTTCACACCTGGTATCAAATCCGATATCAAATTATCGCCCTATTTCAATTTTATCAATATTCTCCAAAGCCCTTGAAAAATTATGACAATACTCTCAGGTTTATCACCAAACATACCATTTATTATATAGCAAACAATATGGGTTTAGGAAAGGTTACAATACCTCCATGGCACTTATTGACCTCACCAATAAAATTGCTAATGCATTTGAGACCAGACAATATACAGTACTATCGGAATCTTTATTGACCTTTCTAAAGCCTTTGACACAGTTGACCATAACTTTCTTTTACATAAGCTTTCTCACTGTGGTATTCGCGGTCCCTCCCTCAGACTTTTTCCAAGTTATCTTACTAATCGTGCCCAGTGTACCAAATACTCCAGTTATATTTCTAATTTTCGTCGATCACTTGTGGTGTTCCCCAGGGATCTATATTAGGCCCGCTTTTATTTCTTTTATATATCAATGATATTCACTTATCTTCTGAACTTTTTGCTTTATGCAGATGACACCACTGTTAACTCTAATTTGATCTCCATTTCCCAATACTTTGTTCCCCAAAAAACTTTCAGTCAGTCACAAGAAGTTTAGCTTCATTCTTTTTCAAAGTCCCCAGAAATAAAAAAATCCTCAACCTCCTGCAATTTGATGGTCCTAATTACCCGTATACCCCAACCTAAACAAACTAATTGTCATATTGTCTTATTATTTGACAGGGAGCCAGAGTTTATTTACTATGATGGCATGACAATGAAGATGAATGCCTACAAGTAAGCATGACTATATTTTCTTATGCAGTTCTTTTCAAACTTGGATTGTCAGGGGAGGATTTAGGGAGGGTGGGGGAAAGCCACGCCGGGGTCCCCCTTTTTGGAAGGTAAGAAAGATATTTTAAAAAAAAGAAGCAAACAAACAAACAAAACAAAATTATTGATCACCCAAAATGCCTTAGAGGTTATTTCCGGGCGTGTAGAACACAAAAGTTTCCCCCCAAGGTAGTCTTTCGGGTGGGGGGGGGGTTGACATCTCTGGACCTATCCCTGATTGTAGTCAGTATCTGATGTGTATTATGATTTAAATGTTGTACATGAAGTTTTACATATTGAATGCAATGAGAGGAAGTGTAATACAATCATACCATGTTGAAAAACCAGTTCTCATTAAATCACGTAATTTAGTACTGAGATGGGAGGTTATTTTGGGATCACCAGGTGTTGTAGAGCCTTGTTGTCGAATGTTTCTGAAGGGTGCAGCAAATATCAGTCTGGTTGTCAGCGCTGGTTTAAAATGTATTTTCCACTAGTGTAAAGCATTTCTGTAGTTTATATAGCCAATACACATGATTCATAGCTTTCCATAATCATTTTATTTTGTTTGTATTTGTGCAGATAACACCACCTTAGGGGATCCCGAGGCATTCCCCCGCAAAAATTTTGTTTTCTAGACTCCCAAAAATAACCTCTGAGTCATTTTGGGCGATAAATTTTTTCTTTTGCTTTCTTTCTTTTTTATTTTTCTTTTTTTTAGTTTCCAAAAGTGGGGGCCGAGGCCAGCCAGGCCACCCACCCTTCGCCAAATCTGCCCCTGATGTGTAGCATTTAAAAAAAAAATTACATTATCATAACCTAGAATCTTGTATTTTGTATTAGTTGTCAAGACATTCTCAACAAACAACAGTTCTTTTCAGAACTGCCTACGTGGTGTGCCGCAAGCATTAATTAAGTATTTTTTGTTACAGTGTGAAGCCAGCAGTATTTGATCTATTTCTTGCGGCTGCTATTGCCTGCTACATTGGAATTGTCTATTTTATTATCCAGGTTAGCATCATTATAATACTTTTTTTAGGGGTAATTTGCACACATTATTATCATAGCAATATCATCAATAACAATGATAATATTGATACTGTGCTTGATAATAGTTGAGATAGAATTGTAATTGTTCACACTCATAAGATATCATTTAATTTATTTCATCTCCACACATTATCAGAAATTATACAAGAACAGGAAACTGTGTTAAGAAATTATTTCATTACATTATTAATTTGGTCCAATAACTGACAGTATCCACAAATTTGAAATATGGGGAAACCATTGCAAATGAAGTGAATTTAATCCAATAGCAGTGCTGGTGAGCCCATCCCCATCGCACATAACAAAATTATTAAATATTAAATTCTTGTATGATAATAATTAATACTTTCTACATAATAATAAATAATTTTAAATTGAATTTTTAAGTGTTTTATAACTACTGTAAATGTATTTTTTGAATATTATAATTGATCTAAATTTAAACCTTAACTCAGCCAATGGCTTCATCTGTTTTTACATACTATCAACAAGACAATAGATAGGCCTATGTACATTATAATAAGCAATTAGTAGAGCTGCACATAGTGCACTAATGGAAAATTATTACAGTATATGCAGGTTAGACTTAACACTTGAAAAATGTTTTGAATGCATTAAATCTAACCTAAGTATAATAATTTTCAACCTAGTGTACGATGTATGCAGCTATAATAATTGCTTTGTAAGTCAATCACCATCTTTTAATGGTAGTTTTGATAATCAGCTGTTGTAGCAGTCATCGTTTGCTATAGTGATATGATCATTCTGCTCTGTGTGTATATTACATTTAACTGTGCGCGCATATGCTAATATGCTCCTGCAGTACTACACACAGCTAGCTCGCAAGACGTTACACATCAGTTCGGGTACGATAAATAACTATTTTATTGTGTTTGAAGAAATTGTAGTGCTATTTTGATAGACATTTGTCAAATAAATAATAAAATAAAGCATTTGAGAGAATACAGTAGGCCCTAATCACTTTTTGGTCGATGCAGACAAGTAAAATCTTTCATATCTAGACAAGACAGCGGCTACAATCTAGGCCACCTCGGCCTCCCGCCTAAGCCTACGTCTTAATTTCGTTCCTTGAGTCTTAGAATATTCCTCTTAAATGTTCATTCTTTAACTGATTAGGGTCCATTGATTCAAGGATTTTTTAATTATTCATACTTAATATTGAATTTGAAGTTACTTTCTTCGGGTTCAAATCAACCTTGTTTTACAAAAGTAATTTTTCAATTACCACTTGTCAACAAACAAGGGTCTAGAATTCATTGTGGTGCGTGATATCATGTACAAAAGTTGAATTGGTCGTTTGCACACGAACCTAAAAAAAAAAAATCATGCCAAGCGTACATTAATTGAAAAATTATTGTGCTCTAGGGGATAGGCAACTAATATTGGGAGTTGCAGCGATGACGTCACGATTGACTTATAAAATTGTTTATAGTACTATACAAGGATCTAGCATAAACAGATCCCAAACAGCAGTAGTCCCTAGACGCCTTTATTAGGAATTACCAGGAATTCCCCGACAAAGGGATTCAAGCTCCCCGACAAGGGCTCTACCACCCCCCCCCCCCAATTGGGGAAACCTAGCCCTTCTATTCCCAGGGTCATGGGTTCAATTACTGTCACAGCTGTCACAAATAAAACCAAATCCACTCCTCATAAAGAGATGATTTATTGAGCATCATCCATCCTATAATTTGCAGTTAGATGCAAATGAAATATAAATGAATAAATAAAAATGCTATCTTAATGACTGTGAAAAATAATAATAATGCTGGATCCATGGCAAAAGCCCAATACAGATATTTAGAGAATATATTGGTTATTTGTTTCCACAAAAGATTTATATAAGATTTATAATGGAATTTATTTTTCTTCACAGAATTTTCCAGTTCTGTTTTCCTTTATGAAGGAGTATTCAAGTGTGAAGGCTAAAGGTCAATAAGACAGTGTCTTGAAACACAATGCAAGCAATAAGTATATGAACGATATACCTCGGTAATGTTACAACATAAACAAGTATCCTGCTAAAAGAAACTAGCAGTGTGAATGGGTAATACAAAAATGGTATTAGTTAAAATAGGTAACATTAAAATTATTAAGTGTAAATGAATGGGCCAGTCTGTTTACCCCTCTTGAAAAGTTTCTTAGTTACTTTTAATAGGTCCCTTTGTATCCTGTTGTTTTTGAGGGGTGGCTTTATTTCAAGCAGAGAAACATTGCTAGAAGTGAGTGTATGATTGGTATATCAACTTACAACACAAGGTAATTGTTGCATAATTGACTAGTACAGGTAGATAGAACTTGTTAGTTGTTGTGAATTTGAACCTTGATAAGGATTGGCCATGTATTAGCTAAGGTAAATGATTGAGATTTCTTTTGAAGTGACAAGGTAAGCCATGTGAGATGAATTTACAAGCTGGAAGTTCCATTAGACAACTGATTTAACACATTCCATCCATTTAATTTCTGTCTTGATGAAAGAAACTGTTTCTGTCTTTGTTTTAGAAAGATAATTTAGACTGTAAATTAACTTTCATTTATAAAATTCAAAATCATCAAATGCATGAGTAAATTCCAAAAATCATTATGGGATTAATGTTCAACCTAAAGCCAAGCCTTTACTGCATCATATGGCGGTTGTAAGATCCCTGTGAGCGCTAGGCAATGTGGCATCGTATGCTTATTTTTGAACGGATCAACATTAAAAAGACCTGTTGTGCGTGTCATGGTGTCTCATTCTCAATAGGATCACGTCGGTTGACTGTTTTGAGCAGTGAGGGCACTGTTTATGTTGCACCAAGGTTGTCTTAAAGTAAAGTATATCTTGTCTTAAGGGCAGTTTCCACTGAGTGCAGTGACAGGTGCACTCTCATTCATGCTCGTACCTAACTCTTATCTAATACGGTACAAGTTTTTTGCACTCGTAATAATCTCAAACTAGTAGGAAACTCGGTGCTTCGCTCGGATTAATTTTTATGTAACTCATAACCAACTCCGTAAGGTTGTACCTCACTTGTAGCTAATGCCTAGTAAGCTCGTCAGCTTTCCCAAGTGAATTCAATCACGAGTTTCACAAGTTTTTAGCTCGTAGAACTCGTGCGACTCTTGTATGAAATCAACCTAAGTGGGAGAGGGGCTTAAACCTATGTTCAGTCTTCGTGTTGAACCTTATACGATATATACAATGTAATACAGTGTATTTTTCTTTATGAGCCTGATACAGATTGGCCTAAGTTAAGATAGGTCCAAGTAATGTTGACCTTCGTAACTCGAGTAACATTTGTTAAGGTTAGCGCTAGTTCAGAATTTCCCTAGATGTTTGTCATTTGGTGTTAGCCATTTCAGTTTGGCTGTGTCAGTGTGTTTCAAAATTTTGTAATTTTTTACATTATTGGTATCCTTTTGATGAGGGCAAATCAGAACATGTTTAGATAGTTAATTATTAATAATAATAATAATAATAATTATAAAAATTCCAGTTTTTAAAGGATCATTAAAATTTACAGTTGTGGAATATTTTGATAAGCATTGGTGCTGTCTATAAGGATCCTTAGCAGCTATCTTTTAACTGTTTTTCATTATTTTTTTTCTTATTAATATAATCATTTACCATTCATTACAGATGTATTGTCCCCTAAAAATGACAAAAAAAAAATTTTTTTTTTAACTTTTAATTGAAATTAACTTGTTCATTATGCAATAACATACAAAATTATGAACTTGAGCCTAGAAATGATTGAGTTTATAAATGTGTACCCTGAATTGTGTAGTGGATAACGATAAAAATAATACAAACAAATTATGGGTAAACATTTTAAAAATACGCACAATTTCATTGATCAAGTTGAAAATGTTTATGTTACTGTATTTCATTTAATGAGTAAGTAATAACTGAATGATATTTTTCTAATTTTTAATTTGGTTTTTTTTTCAAGGGACAGTATCCTAAGTTCATGAATCAAAGATAATATTGTTGTGTTTTTGAAAAATCTGTTGTGACCTTTGAACTGTTGATGTCATTAACAAAATCCTGTTAATCCTCAGAGAACTACACGGTTTTATTCTTTGTCATGGATGGTGTTGTTTTTTCTAACAATATTTTTATGCACGTTTATGGTTGTAAACAAAATATAATCTATAAAATATAAGTGTATTTCCTGCACATGTTTACTGTTTATAGTATAATACATACTCCAAGTATTGAAATGACATAATTAATGTCAAAATATTGAATCCCAACACGATGACGTGCATTTCGATACTTGGGGTATGTGTTATACTATCTTATCTGAGATTAATCAGTGAACCTTTTTGTTTACTGTTTATTTTAATAAACTTTTTCGATAATGACATATAAAATACAGTACCAAAGTAATATATTATCTTATACTGATATTATTTTCAATACATCCAATGAACAAAATCTTTTGTTTACAATGACTTACAATTGTAATGGAATTGTACAATGGAATTAATAAATCATATACCATACCAATGGTTTTGCTTGTGTCCATGGATACAGTGTTTTTCCAATCAAGTTTTAGACAGTAACGCTGGGGGATTTTTAACGGACGTTGCTATGGAAATAATTATAACACAATTTTATCTGTTGACTTGTTATTAAGCAATGCAGATATGAATTAATCACTTTATTGATCGGAGATTCGTCTTTAAAGTGTCGTTGAGCAGGCAGGTTTTTATATGCAAATATAATAACCGGTGGGTGTAATATTCCAGGCCTCTTTTTGACATTGTATTTTATGGGCCTGTGGTGAGGAGTCTTATGGGGATGGTTGGTCAGTGAGTGGTGGTGTAATGCCTTCGAATCTCAGGGGAGAAGCTGTGGTGTAATGTCTATAATGAGCTCATGGGTCCCGGGTCCCCAGTCGGTGGTATGTATTGAAATTTAAAATATGGTGGCAAAAGTAAAAACATGTGCCTCCCCACATTGGACCCGCTTCTGTCCTGTAGGGCCTCCTATTAAACACCCAGCGTTCTACTACGGAGCCATGACAGTCGGACAAAGTAAAAAGATACTACAATAAAAACTAGCTTTAATAAAACAAATAATTCCTGGCTTTTAACTGTATTGCCTATATTGCATTCTTTTCGGTCTTAATATCTATCTATAATTTAAGGTAGGGAAGGGATTCACTCAAATACGTCCCTCTTCTGCTTTCGTGACATTTACTTGAGCCTCAACCAGGACTTCTCATCCCCATGCCAAGTGACTCCTCTTACCGCAGTCCAAAAGGGTCCCGGAGGGCACTCCTACTATAGACAGCACTTGTCTGAAATGGTCCAGAAGAAGGCACCCCAAACTTGCAAGTTAAAACAATGTAATTCCAAGTTTTTAACTCAAGAATGTCCTAGCGAACTCACATGGCAATACTTTTACACAATTCCCATCCAAAATGTTCCCCCACAGCTGGGATCAACTAAAAACTAAAGTTTAAAAATAGTTCGAAAAAAATAAAATATATGAGCTACACTGGTACCCAGGGCTATTAGGGCCCATTCATAAATAGACCTAAAAAATAATTAATAATAATAATAATGAATAATAATAATTAATAATTTCCAACTTAACAAAACGGCCAGCGGGCCCCTCGATAATATTTGGTTTTTTAGAGCAGTAGTTATTGATTACTGTGTTACTTTCAAATCAATAGTGTATTCAAGGGTGCTCCAGCCCCCCCCCCCCCCCCCCCCCCCCCTCCCCACCAATTTTTCTAACAATTTATAAAAGAAATAGGGGAAAAAGGAGATTATATTAAAATTAGAGTCTGAGAGTCAAATTTCCGGTCATCTAGAGGTGCTATAATCATAAATTTTCTAACCTCAGCCCAACCATCAACCGTGGTGGGGCTGAGGTGGTCGTCTTCATCCTCCACCTGTCAAAATCTCACCCGGCTACCCCTCTATTTCGAATTTCTAAGAACTTCAGGGAATTCCCCATCACATCAAAGGGCCCGGCAATTAATCTTGCACGGGGCCTCTTCGCACCTAGCTACGCCGCTGCCTTTGGCCACTTTCGTGACGAAATCATGGGCACCCAACTCTGTTTACCCCGGACCCCGCGACTCGTCGGTACGCCACTGTGGGTGGTCTTACAAATGCCAGAGGCACAGTGGTCCATGAAGGTCTATATGAATAGCATTTGTAAGGTCTCGAGAAGCGATTGTTTGGTCTATCATGGGAAGAGAAGAGAGGGCCCGCTCGATCGTAAAAGAGGACCAACTCTAGAACAATCACCCCCGTCCCACCCAAACCCGTTACAAGCCAGTGTTGTTATTGGTATACGTTTTTATCTGTTTTACATAATGCCTACATGCACTTGCATCTGTAGATACACAGTACATTACATTACATTATTAGGCAGGATTTGTTAATACTGCTGTATACATAATAATGATAATGAGGAGGAGGATAAAAATAATAGAATTATTGATTCCCTGTACCTCCTGAATATTTGCATATCGTGTTGTATGCCTTCTAAAGTGCGGTTGCGTATACTCTCGTCGTAAAGAGCGGCCCTTTCTCTTAAGCGACCACTTTCTCGGACTCGAGAATAATTTCTAACAGAAGTTCAATTTGATTTTTTTTTCACGAACATATTTCGTACACCAGTGCATCTATAGAAGATACTATTATTGACCTGTGTACTGTTTCATGCAATTATGCACCTACACAAAAAATAATCAAGATAAAAAACCACATGTGTTTGATACACATAAACATGATCTGGTTTTCTAATGCTAATGTCTATGTTTTTCATAAGAAAAGTTAATATTTTATTATCTATAAACATGCAAACGAATAACGAATTGAATTATTTAATCTCATTTTCACTGGATTCTGAGACCATTTTAATAATACATCGGCCTACCATCATGCCGACCGATAATTAAATTCGTATCATCAAATAGACATACTATAATTATAGTATATATAGTCTATTTGATGATACGAATACGACAAAAAAAAAAAACAAAAACAAAAAAAAAAAAAAAAAAAAAAAAAAAAAAAAAAAACAGGCCATTCAATATTATTATCAACATTACTATTTTGCTTTATTTTATTTTATGTGAATGAGGATTGGGTTTTACGTAGTTAAAGTTTTGATTTATTTTATCATGAAACAATTTATTTTACCTTTATGTTTTTTATGAATAGGCCTATTATTTTGTTGCTAGCGGCACTTTAGAGAGGTCCCAGACAGTAGGCTTAATGCCACGTTTGAGCAATCCCGTCTGGTGCTGGTTAGCATTTTAACTTTTCTGTTTTTCTTTTTTTTTTTTTTTTATTGTTGTGTGTCTGTCATGTGTTGAACTGAAGACGAAATAAATGATACGTTATGATATGATATGATTCTTCCCCACAACCACAGGGACATTCTTAAATTGTCTCACTTTTTTGGCCTAATTGTAGTGGTTGCAAGTAAAAAGGGGGAAATGAATGAATGAATGAATGAATGAATGAATGAATGAATGAATGAATGAATGAATGAATTAGGACATCAACTACTTGCTAAATAAATTGCAAATTAGTACAATGGGATGAGAGTGGAAATGTACTTCTAATTTTAAACTATTGGGAACAGAAGTCACTCTTTTAAGAATGAATTTTCAATTGGAAAAGAGAGAGATTGGATTGGACCCTGTATAGGCACTTCCAAGTGATTTTTTTTTCAATCTTTAAAAAATAGATACCGGTATTGTAGTAAATGGATTGCCATATACATAGTTAACATATGAGATGGAATTGACCGTTCCGCTAAGCCTTATAATACCTCATGGTTGGTGTTGGAGGTGGCCACAAAACGACATTATGCACTGCAGCTGCATTCGTGAATACAGATTTGTGTGACATGCGTATATTTCATTGTCAAATAATTGTTCAGTTTGATTGACACTATGGAAAGTTCCAATGCTAATGAAAAGATCGTGAAAATTTGATGAAGTCTAACCTGCATGACTGGTCAATTTGATCGAAATTGAGAAAAAGTGAAGGATGTTTTATGCAAAAGATTTCGAATGTTTTATGCAAAAGATGTCGAAGAGATATTGACGAAACGCATCTTAGAATTAAAATACAGTAATTATAGAAACCTTTCACTACATCATTACCACAATGTAAACATTGCATATCGGTACATCAAAAATAGGTATGAGACTCATTTATTCAACTTCCAGTATAATACGCACGTATTAGACCTATTTCTTTTTTTACTACCAATAATTCATGTAATTTCACCCATTCTTTGTAGTAATGTACGCTTGAAGGTCATTTTTTGTAATACTGTATTAGTATTTTGTCGATATATATTATATTTACCTTGATGTTTTATATCAGTTTTCAATTTGATGTCTTTTATAATGACTGTGTCAAACAATGAAGTTTAATATAGATCATCATCAATTCATCTGTAGCATCTGCTCATCAATATCGATATTAACGAACGGTTCAGGAAGGTCCCATCGCTAGAACATTACACTATTTAGCTAGCTCTCGCAATGATTTTACCACAATATCTTTCTAGTTATGCCTTAGTTACATCACGGTTTTGATCTT